AAAAAAAAAAAAAAAAAAAAAAAAAGACTTAGAGGTTTGGAATGGGTTTATATTTAGATTTTAGGGGTTATGTTGGGTTTAGACTTAGAGGTTAGGAATTAGGTTGGGTTTAAACTTAGATTTTAGGGTTTAGACTTGGAGGTTAGGGGTAAGGTTGGGTTTAGACTTAGAGGTTCAGTTTCTCTGAAAGTGAAACAGCGTGGCATTTCATATCCATCAGATGTGTAGTGTTCAAAAACCATACAGGAAGAAAACAGCCTTGTTGATGAATTCCACTATCTCATTCTCTCTCCAGACATCCCCAAAGATGCATTCACCCTGATGATCTTCTGACCCTCATCCTTGGCACATTTACTTCAAGATGCCAATGGATCAGGATTCCATCAGCAGGAAGGCCAGTATTAATACCCCCATCACCCCCACTAGTGGTTATTGCTATTAGGGTTTGAATTCGCTTTAATGCAGAGTCAAACTTGCAATTCACCATTTTTTTTTTAGAAATAGTCTCTGGTGTTATGTTTGCATTTAGCAGCATGCAATTGAGTTCAAATCAGGCTAGATATTGCTTTTCATTTTTCTTTTGCAGATATTTAATGTACTGCAACCCTGGCCAAGGTCTCCCTGCTCTGTGCCTTGGGCTGTTTCAGACTCCATCTTGACCCCATTCAAGATAAATGGTTAAAGGTGGATGGATGATTGGATGGATGGGTAGATGAATGGATGGAGTAATATATAAAGGGACGCGAAGGTAGTATGACACCATTTCCTCACCATTTCCTGGTATGAGCAAAAATTCAGCAATATAACTGAGCAAATATATCAAAAACCTTAAAGAGTAAAACACACCCGCATCAACAAGTAAAATTGCAATAAACAACCAAAAATCAGGCACCCAATATAAATGTCTTTTTTTACAGTTTGAAGTTTTATTAATTTACACAGTGGCTCTAAGGAAAAAATGGATGAGTCCCTCTAAAATCAGAATTATCCAGTCTTCTAAGCACACAATCTTTCATTGACCTGTCTAAAGGGGAAAAGTCTATGTGCATAAATGGCAGACAGAGTGTCCATAACAGTAAGATGGTTTTCAGACCTTTAAGAGCCCAGAAGTCAGTAGAACAAACAATGTTGCATGCTAACGTGCCTCACAATGCATCAAAATCTGTCCAGCCATTTCAGGCTTGTGTTTCGGGTTGATGTCCTGCTACATCCGGCACCAATAACCCTGGACGTTATCGCTGCTGCTGGAAAACAGAGGAGTAAACGCTGATAGTCAGAATGATGACGCACGAGCACAGGCTGGTGGAAAACAGAGATGGCAGCAAACAGATAACGTAACAACGTGACAGGTGTTAGTGCGCTACACAGTGTCAATGAAAGGTATCAATCACTGTTGAAAACAATCCCTCTATTCGAAACAAGACATCTACATCTTGGCAGGTATGGGAAAATGACTCCAAAGCCCTTGAGATGCCAGCTGTCCTTTGTATCTCCTTCCTCTCTGGCCCACTTTGTTCACTGGCTGGCCAATATGACAATGTGAGTCTTTTTCGAAACGGCTGGCACCCAGCAGGGTACAATGAAACTCATGCTTCCCTACAGGAAAGATGAGGCAGTTAGTTAACGTCTAGCTGTATGAGCACCTCTGATGGGAATAAGTGATTCAGCTACGGCCATCCACACGTGCTTGGTGAACACTGTAAAAATCAGGATCTCTAAGGGTGAAATGCGTGACTGTGCTGAGCCTCATTACAGACTAATAGTATTATATAATATTTAAAAACATATCCCACATAGATTTTTTTCTCAGTCAAAAACATTTTGCCCAGACACAGATGAGTCCTGCTATAGACACGTTTGTCAGACAGGTTGATGATCCCTGGCTTACAGGCAGGACATGGGGACGTATCCCCCATGGGGGAAAAAATAACAAAAAACACCCTTTCTGAAAATATGCCACCCCATCCCCACCCCTAAATTGCTCTGTGTAATATCATTCATGTAAAGGTGAATATACTGACTATTTCAGGGGTACTAATCTGGATCATGTAATCCCTCCCCACCACCCCTGGTTGAGAATGAATAGGCAGCAGCCCAGAATCCCCCTTCAGAAATTTTTGTAGCTCACTCACTGCTTATAGTGCTCACCTGAGGAGTCCTTAGGTGCTACCAGCAGCTCCTCCAGCACACTCCTTTCTGGATGACCTACCAGCAGCTCCTCCAGCACACTCCTTTCTGGATGACCTACCAGCAGCTCCTCCAGCACACTCCTTTCTGGATGACCTACCAGCAGCTCCTCCAGCACAC